AATAGGTCAGACCATCTAGAAATTAAAAGTTATTCGCTACTAGAAACAACACATTTGCTGTTTATGTATGGATAATAGTTTATATGTAAGTTTTAATCGTATTTTTAGCTATTGCACGCTAAAGTGCTTGATAATTCAATGTTGCCGTAATTTAATTCTATCAAAAACTAAGTAAACTAATAGATACTCCTCAGTTTCTTCAATCATCAGCATTGCCAAAACTCTACTTTAATAAACACTAGTTTTGAAGTCTTTCGATTTTGCTTTTACTGGTTCTTTTCTGTTCTAAAATTTTTCTGATTTTCTTAAATGATAATTCGAGAGCGATACAACGTTAGTTCGATAGAATGACTACTAAAAATGCTTTTTATTATCGCAATACAACGGTTGCGACAAAAATAGATTTTAATTTTCTTTTTTGCTTCAATCAAAAGTTTAAAAAGCACTGATACTTATAACTGTATAAAACCTTCTAAATTAGTCATTAACCCACTAGCTCATATAGTTTTGAAATTACTTTGCGCAGTAAAAAGTATAGAATTTTAATAAAACCATAAATCTGTGTTGTTATTATAAAAAATGCTGCAGCACTGTGTGAACCTGCCACGTTTTCAAAATATATACAAATTGCGCACATAGGTACAGAACGTCTAATTTGCCTGTTCTAATTCTGAAAAAACGATTCAAAACAGACTGCCAAAAGCATTTGAAAAATTACATGTAAATCGTTGCCAAAACGCGGAAAGCTTAGGTACTTAGCAATCAACCAGCCTTTCTACTTGATGCATTTGTGAAAAAAAATCGATGTTCTTGTTTAGATAGAAAGTGTAAGTGCACTTCTTTTCACTCCATTTAACAAGTCGGGAAACATTCTCTCGTTAGGGCCCCATTTTCGAGGGCTACTTCTATGACTTACTACAATTTCCCACAAACCACAAAATGCTAATATATTTTCCAGTCGTTTTTTCCTATCAATAATTTATATACGAGAGATGACGTCTGCTCAAGAAAACAACTTGCTGACGTTCAATCAGTGGCGTGTCAATTCTTGTCTGTTAATCTGTTCTGCAGTTACAGTTCGATATAACGCTGGTGAACAGATCTGATGAAAATTGAGTTAGTGTTTCGTACAGCGTCAGTAGAAATGTATCAAAAGAAAGAGGAGAGAGTTGTTGAGTAGTTCATCCCTACTGTATCCGTTTAGATTTAGAGTTAGGATTTCCCCAACGACGTTTGGTTTTTTACGTTTATGTTGTTGGCGTTTTATATTGTAACCACTAAACAGGTGGTAGTTATCAAAAGCCGATTGCGGTCAGCGCTAAATCTTGACTAGTTAATCATTATTTTAACTTTTCTATTTGTTGCTAATGTTTTTACAAGCATACTCGAGATAAACATTGATCCAGTTGTTTTTGTTGTGTGAAAGGTGACCTCCCCTGTTCGAAAAAAATTATCTAACATGTGATCAAAGTTTGTTTTGCCAAAGATCTTTTTCTCTTGGCATATACTGTTCTGGTTTTTACGTTCGTCGTACTATTTTATATTTGTTTTGATGGTGTACATACACTTGTTGTTGTTGACATTGATACTTCTCGAGGTGTCAACAGAGACTTATCCGCAATGTCGGTTGAAGGAGGTAACTGTTTCGTAACAGTGACCAGGAAACTTCTTGCCTTCATTAACTGCTACCTCAGTCTGTATTGGTTTTGTTTGTTCCAGTGGTCTACCAGTAGCGACCATAAAAAACAATTGTTTCACGATCAGTAATCAGATGTTGTCACACCCTTCAAAAGTCGATTTTCTAGCCAGCTACCGTTGCGATTAAGTATGGCTAAAATATGAATTCCTCATGAGCCACTTAAGTTTACTCTGATTTCTCAAGGCTATCAACATTAAAAAACAGTGTCATCAGTCTAATAACCCTCTCCTTTGTGAGTGCTTTATGCTTTTGTTCACTACACAATAACTTGAAATTATTGTTGAAGTCATGTGAAAATAGTATAACAGTAAAATTATTTCAATTATGAACTGAAAACAATTGATGAAATTGTAATGGCCCATAACTAATAATTCAGAAGAGAACGAAGGACTACGGCGAGTGATTGTAGAATTTTTTTGTGACTATCAGTCTTTCAAAACAATGAATGTTGATGGTCTTCTTTTAGTTTTATTATCCTTGTAGCCCGATGTTTATTTGCTTTAAAAAATATAATAATTAGTTGTCTCCGATATGGAAACATTTTCTCCTACGCACCTTTGACTGCAAGAAGATCTAACCATTGAATAACATTCGAGCTGGTGTTGCGATAACCGCTGCGTAAATGTTAACGTATTGCCCATATTGCCCACCTGATCGTTCCATTATAAATAAATAAACCTAGATAACTGGGTTAAATTACACTGCTTGTACACCTATTTATTGGAGGCGGTGAACAAGTACAGTTTTGGGGATCCGTATGCGTTTCTATGGAGATGTTGATAAGATCAACGACGATGTTGTTGGTGTTACTATGAGCTGCTGCTACCACGACCGACAGCATTTTTTTGAACTGTTGTTGGTGATAAAATCATCTTCAGCCCTTTGCAGATCCTGTTTTTTGATGTCATATAACTCAGTTTCTGTGCAGACCTGTATGTAATATAGTGTCAAACTTTTTTGTATAGAAACATTAAAAGTGACATATAAAATTAATTTACCAGTTTGCCTGAACGTGCAAAAACAGTTCTTGGTGCTTATCTTTTGTGTTCGTCTTCGGTCGTTCAACCAGCTGCTCATAAGTAATGGAAGAACAGGGGAAAAATCAAAAATACCGATAGTAATGGGTGCAATGTAATGCAGTTGCCTCAGCAAAATCAACCTTAAAAAGGACTTTATGCTTCAGATATGCGACTGCTGCGGTGTTCAGCGAATCTCCGATGGGTACACGTAAAAGAAATACAGCGGCGTAAGATCTATTATAATACGCCATAGGTACATTTATGCGACAGGATTTCGGAATGAAACTGTTTCAACTGGTTTTCATTCAAAGGATAAGTTATTGCTGCAGGCCCTATCAATGTTGCTGGAAGAGTGCCACTGGGAAAAGCCAACCTCCAACTGTGCACTTTCAGTTGTAAATGCGTCTTTTAAAATGGAAAAGCCCGCATTCTTTCGTCTATTTTTTTTATTATCAAAGGAGTTCGATTTATAAATGTGATTTTGTATCTTATAGTTTGTTTTAGTTTTTTATCTTTTTTCATTTGTTTATTTATTTTCTAGACTCGTTTTTTTACTTATACATTTATTCAGTTATTTATTTATTTATTTGTTGATTTCTTCATCTGCTCATTAAGTCGTTCATTTATTCATTCATTCACTCACTCATTCATTCATTCGTTTTTTACTGCGATCGTCGATTGGTAGGCAACGAGCGTGCATTAGTTGTTGGGTTTTCTACGAAAAAAAAAAAGAACACCATTCAACTGTTTCCTTCATTTTGTTTTCTATTCACTTGTTATACCATTTGCCACTGATAATTTTTTTAGTGGCATCGTTTTACTATTTGTAACTTGTTGAGTAACTAGTTTTTTTGCTGTGTACATCAAAACTTTTTTTTACCGGATACGTTGAACTTCGTGTTATTTCCTTATTGACTGTAACAGGATTATTCTAGTTTGGTTATGTTAAACTGGTTACGTGTATTGATGCACTGAATTTTGATTTCTAGGATGTCACAGCTTGTCAAGGAGCTCTTAAATCGACCGGATATTTCACGTCCACGATGGGACCAGTCAACATTTGAAGGTCGGGCAAAACACTTTTTTGTTATAACAAATCCGTTGAATCTTTTCGTCTCAGGCAGAAGGTTGGAAGAATGCAAAAAATTAGTGCTTAATTACAGGTATTTTATGAAATTTTATGAAATCTAAAGCTTCTTTTCAAGCCGTACCTAAGGACAAGAATTCTAGGTATGAGTCTGATGTTACAAAAACACCAAACCTCTTTTTTTCTAGTTGTTACATCCTAATTCAAGTTTTACATAAGATGGGGCCTACAGTGTACCGCATTTAACAGACATTTGTCTCTTTTTTCAACCATTTAGGCGCTCATTTTGTGTTATTTAAAAAAAAAAACAGATTACAGTCTGGAAATTGTTCTGTCGCTAGGAGACTTCTTATTCGATAGCTTCTGACGTTTATTGTTCCCTTAGTTCTTGTTTATTCCAACGTAGGGTGTTCTGTAAAAGTCACGGTGATTTCAGTAAATTTCTTCTTTTCGTACAGGAAGGGTATCATACCAGATGACCTAACCGTTGATCAATTATGGCGTGCGAAACAACTTTTTGATTCTGCTTATCACCCTGCTACTAATGAAAAAATGTTCTTGCCAGGCCGGATGAGTTTCCAAGTGCCAGGAAACATGTTGCTAACAGGCGGAATGCTCACTTTTTACAAGTATTTCTTCCTACCTAATCTTTGGTTTTTAGCATAAAGGTGCTGGTTTTCTATATTTGCTGGTATAACTTTCCCACTGACAGAAATATTTGTTTGGAAAGATGACTTTCGTAAGAGATTTTTTTTTAATGTCAAAACAGCTTCTGTTTTGGGGGTTTCACATGAGTAGCATCGGATTTAAGTGTTTTTGATATCTTTATAACTTGTATGAGACTATTCACAGCTCTTTCTTGCTCTTTTGCACTACATTTTCATTTCATGTTGGACTGTTTAGCTGTTGCTTTTGCTTATGTTGACAAGGTTTCAACGGTCCTTATGTTTATTGTAGGTCTCCTGCTGCGGTAATTTTCTGGCAGTGGTTAAATCAAACTTTTAATGCGGTGGTGAATTACACAAATCGATCTGGTGAGGGGGCATCTACAAATCAAATGATGGCCTCGTATGTATGCGCAACTGGAGGTGCTCTTGTTGCTGCTCTAGGCCTTAATTCGCTTGTGAAGGTACTTATTTGACTTTAGATCACCTTTCTGTGAAAAGTTTAGGCTTCTGAAACAAGGCACCTATTTCTCGTTTGTGTAGATGAGCTTTTATTAGGTGGAATGGCGGCGTGCTTTTGC